ATATTGCTAAAATTAATTATTAAAATTTTATTATAAAAATTAATTTTAAAAAAATTAATGCAAGCAAATTTGCCTGTGTTACAATCTAAGGGATAAAATAAATTTGTTACTATACTTACTAACTATAGTAGTAGTATAAATTATTTAGACAAGATTATATTAGTTTTGTATTGAAATAATCATGATTTTTATAGTAAATTACTGTAAAAAATTCTGTAATTACTGACTATAGTAGTAGTATAAATAATTTAGACAAGATTATGTTAGTTTTGTATTGGAATAATCATAGTTTCTATAGTGAATTATTTTAAAAATTCTGTTATTACTGACTATAGTGATGATATAAATGATTTAGACAAGATTATGTTAGTTTCATATTGGATGATTATAATTTCTATAATGATTTGTTGTAAAAGATTCTGTTACTATATGTACTTGCCGACTAATGTAGTTACATAAGAAATTAGATTGGGCTATGTTAGTTCTGTATTAGAATAATCATAATTTCTATAATGCTTTTATGTAAAAAAATTGTTATTATACTTACTGACTATAAATGATTTAGACAAGTCATGTTAGTTTGTATTAAAATAATTGTAATTTCTATAATGATTTGCTATAAAAAATTCTGCTATTATACTTGCTAACTATTGTGTTAACATAAGTGATTTAGATATAGTTATATTAGTTTTCTATAATGATTTACTGTAAAAACATTCTTGCTATTAGTAGTGTTGCTTACCTACTGTAGTGGCATAAGTAACTTAAATAGAGATACATTATGAAAACAATATGTTTCAACAAAAAGAAATTCTATGTATCATAGTTTTCAAAAAGCACAAAATCAGTTTCATTATATTTCATATGATCTTCCACATCAAATATTATAGTTTGTTACTGCTTATAGTACCAGAATCTATAATTAAAACAGTAAATCAATATATGATGCAAGAACTCTAAAGATATCCAAATCACTATTCCTCAATGAATAATATAAATTTACAAAAAAAATCTGTAACTCTGTAAATCTTTTTTGAAGTTATTAATTTATGGTTTTTTTTTGTGAATTTGTGCATATTTGTTAAGCAGTAGCAATTTGAAAATAGCAAAAATTTTCGAATATCATACTAATGATTGGTAAGGTATTTGTGAAAATTTAGTACAGATTTGATGTAACTAAAGTGCTTGCATTATAGTTATACCTCAGGTCTTATTCAAAGAATAGGCTGATAGGAATGTGAGTAATACTTAGGTTTTAAGTATAGAGTATTATCTTTAAAGAATACTTGTAAACAGTAACTAATAGTAATAATCAAAAGCTAAAAATTCTTAACCAAATTTACATTTGAATGTTAACTTGGATTTTGTGCAATCCACTATTTAATAACATAATTCTAACTTTTATTTCTTTCATTTGTAACTCATTACAATTAATAAGAAATATTAATAGTAAAGAAATCAGAATTAAAAAATGATCTAAATACTTTACTAAAATATTATTGCACTATTTTGGAATCTTGTTAATAAACATGTATAATATGTAAAAAAAACCAATTAGCCTTCTTCTCATAAAAAATAGAATGTAAAAAATATTTACTCTAGGTAATATTATTATGAATATATTTTTGTGGCTGGCTTAGATTAGTATTTTTACTTTGATTTAAAACCACTTCACAATTCTTTTTTGGTCATTCTTATTTTTTTTTCATATGAGGCATATTTTCTTTTTCACACCTAATTCTTCTTTTTTTTGGCTATCCAACAGCCTTGCTTTTTATTAGGTTGTTAATTATCAGAAGTTCTGAGAATACTAAAGTACTTTTGTGTATTAAAACAAGAACATTGTTAGCAACATATAGTGCTTTTAGATACTTTTTAAAGTACAATGTAAAATCTGCACATTTATCAGAGTCTGTTGCAATCTTACTTGCAATTTCTTCTGATAGTTGATGGATATGCATAAACTGAATTTGAAAGTTATTTTCACCAAATGTTTATTTGATGTTAAAGCTTTCAGAACTTGTAATTGTAAACAGTTATAAAAATTAACATAATCTTTGGCAAGTTCTAACTTGGATGAATCTTTTTGCCAACATTTTGGAAAGTGAACAGGATCAAGTTAAGCAAGAGACAAATGAACTGCAATGACAAGAGAATAACAACAAACTATTTCAGCAAATTCAAAATTATGGCAGTAGCAAAAAAGTATGCAGCCATCATAACAAACCCAATATATAATATCAGGCCTTTCATAATATAACAATTTGAAATGATGTACTTCATCATTATTTGTTGTTTCTTCATATGCATATGCATCTTTTGCACTTCACTCAGTCTCAAATTTTTTTCAAACATACTACAACAAACAACTAGCAGCTTAATTTTCAATTGGATTTAGAAAAGTTAAAAGAATGAGATAAACAAGCTCCTTATAAGCAAAAATATGCTCAGCCTCTTTATAAAAATCAAGTACATGTTCAAAGGCTGCCAGAAATTCTGTAAGCCTTGTTTTACAATCGATGAAGCCCTTTAAAAGACTGTTTATTGATTCCACTCTTTGTATTGATGATATGTTGGCAAAAAAATAATTTTTTAAATATGCTAGGGTCTACTGTTCACACCACTAACTAAGAAATTCTAGGCATGACTTTGCCTTAGCATAGTCTTCATTTTTTATTATATAATCTCATAGCTCTTCGAACTTATTTTTATCAATATAATGATTGAGACATTTTATAAGATCTGCATGAAACATGTTATACTTTATTCTAAGCTTAGAAGTCATATTGAACCTTATATTCTTTAACATGTGCCAAATACAAAGACCATATTTGGTACTATGCTTACTAGTAAGAATGAAACAGATAGCATCAGACATTATGAGATCATTGTCAGTAAGAATAGTATAGGGAGCAGTGCCAAAAATATGAACGAAACCTTCGAAAAGCAATTCAAAACTCAAAAACATTTCGTCCCAAAGCAATGCACTAGCAGCAAAGTAGAATAGACCATTATTGGTGATATCTGTAAACACTTCAAAAGGCATTAAAAAGTAGTTGCTTTTATAAGTATTATTATACACAATCATGTCATGAAACCACATATATTGCTATTTTTGTGAAGCATACATCCAGATTATATGTTTCAATTTATTGTTACTATCTAATTCAAACTCATAAGAAAATTTGAGATCATTATTATATTTTTTTTGGAGGAGGTGAAGAAAATCATATGCTTAAAATTTATTATGTAATATGTAATTAGCATCAATTAAATTATATATGTTCTTTATTATCTACTTTTTCACTGCTAGTCTGTATTTTATTGTAAGAAGAGACTGAATCTGCAGTGTTAAAATTTCTGCTTTTCTTATAATAAAAATTTCTTTTTTAACAAAAGCTGATATGTCACAGTTTTCAGACAAAATACGCATAAGTTGGGGCAGAATAAGCAGATGATTATGATGAAGGTCAACATGTGAGATATAATAGTTGTCATCCTTTGAATTATAATTGAGATGTACAGACCAGAGGCAGTTACATTTTTTTGATTCTTTATTTCTGCACTTTTTATTCAGATTCTTAAATTTAGGTTTGAACATACCAGAGTGATTACAAGCAAAAACTTGAATATAACATAAGCCATTACTGTGATTATTGCCTTTTAAGAATATTACTTTAAACCCACTTGTTTCAATATATTGATTGGTGACATATTTAAAGGCCTCAAGAAAAGCATAACTCTAATTATGCTGAAAAAGTGAGTCACTTAATTCTGGTTTCAATAAGAGAGTTTTATGCTCAAATAGGGTCTCAGGTTCTAATGTGTTTTCTAATATATTTTTGGGTTCTAATATATTGTCAGATTCTAGTTGAATTTCAGGATCATAGTTTTCATCATAGACATTTGGTTGATTCAGAACAGCTTCTTAAAATATTAGAAACAGTTATTAGTCTTTGTAAAATCATTGTACAGTATTAAACAACTAAAAATCTTATGATTATTAAAATTATTGTATAGTATTAACTTACCATAAACAGGTCATACTTGTGATGCTATTTGTTGTATACTAGCCATTGTTAAACACAATTTTTTTCAAGTCTAACAGACTTTGATACTTTTATAGCTTTACTAGATTGTAACTATTTAAAGATTTGGTTTTTTTGTTTGTTTTAAATTCAAATTCACAGTTCTTATTAATAGATTTAAAGTTCAAAAGATTAAAATTTTTTTTTCTTACTTTTAAACCAACATTATAACAAATTTAAAGTTTAGTTTATATTGAATTTATTAAGTGTCAGTTTAAAAAGAGGCAACTGTACTTTCCTCTGATTTTTTAAAAAAATAGGTGCTAGGTTTTTAAATCACTGTAACAAAATATAAAAGAATTGTTTTGTATTAATTGAAGCATAAGTGCAGCAACTGCAAGATACATATAGCATATGCATATGATAATAATTGTGATGATAAGTATATATAATTATGATGATATGTAAGTATATACATATATAATCATAATGATAAGCATGATCAAGGCAATAAAATTAAAGATATACATGAAAAAATTTTGGGTCAAGTTTGTCAATCATTAGCATATACAAAATCAAAGTAATACAATCAAGATGGTTTGATTTTTTAGACCAGAGACCAGAGATATAAAATAATAGTAGATGAATGATCAAAGCTTTATTATATAATTTTTGTATTTTTTAATTGGTTTACAGGCTAGAGATATATAAGTTATATATCTCTGTATAGAGATGTCTAAAAATTCCCTTTTAATAAAGTTAAAAAAGTTTCTTAACTAAGTTTATAAAGTAGAATTTTAAAAATGTTTTTACTTAGAAAGTATATTGCTAAAATTAATTGTTAAAATTTATTATAAAAATTAATTTTTTTAAAAAAAATGCAGACAAATTTGCATGCAATACAATTTAAGGAATAGGTTTAAAATTAAAATTTAAAAAATTTATCATAGATAAACTAATAAATTTTTTTACTAAAAATTTTTTTTAAAATTGTATATTTTTGGTCTATAAATAACCTAATTTGTTTTCTTATAATTTAAAAATAAATACTGCAAAAAAGTAATCCTTATTTTCAAATATTATTATATTAAATTTTATTTATATATTTTAATATTTTAAAAAAGTAGATCAGAACTAAAAAAATGCAAAAATGCAGGCAAATTTGTCTGTGTTAGTCTACAATCTAAGAGATAATAATTTAAATGCAAATATATTATTATTTTATTACAAAATTATATGAAGCAAAAAAATATGCAAGCAAAAAAAAAATATAAAAGCAAAAAAATCTAAGCTTATTAATTATCTAAGTCATATTATTTTAATTTCTTTCTTAAATATTTAGTTTTCAACTCTTTCTTGGCTTTAATTAATTCATTTTTTAATTCTTTTTTTCCTAAATAATAAAAATAAATAAAATAAATAAAATAATAAAAAATATTAAAATATATATATATATATACTTTTTTAAATTTAATAATTTGTTGTTTAACATCAAGAATATTATCTTTAATATATTCAATTAGTTATTTTCTTTTACTTTTTATAGTTTGTAAAACAGAAATAGTGGTACTATTAGTTTGTAAGACAGAAGTAGTAATAGTAGTGTTATTAGTTTGTAAAAATATAGTGATAGTAGTAACATGTTTATTAGTGAGATTAATAGAAGAGTTATTAGATAGTATAGATGGTTTAGACATAATAAAAGTAGAATTTCTTTAAAGATATTAGACGTAGTAAAATTTGTAATGTTTTAAAAAAAATTCAAAAAAAAGTTGGTATATATTTTAAAAAAAAATTAAACTATTACAGATTTTACTATGCATAACATCTTTATGATATTTAAAATTTTAATATTGTATCATATTATTAAATTTATTGATATATATAATTTTTAAAGTTATCATAATTACTAATGTTAGAAATGATGTTTATCAATTATTACAATAACTTTAAAAATAATGTGTATTGATAGATTTAATAAAGAATTATTTTATAATTTGACAGATTTTAGTGAAGACAATAGTATTTTTTTATGATCATGATTTATTTTAACAAATTTTGAATTAGCTATTATAAATGCTATTCAAGTAAAATTTTTTGATGCCAAAAAAAAAACTGTTTTTTTCATTTATCACAAAGTGTATATTGGAAAGTTCAATCTTTCAGACTTATTAATTATTATAAAATTAACAAATTTTAGTTTGATGATCTATTATATTCTTATGCTTGTTTTTTTACCTTCAAATAAGATTTTTGAAGCTTTTAAAGAATTAAAAAACTAGTTTAAAAATAATTATATTCATGACTAAGTAAAATAAATTTCTCAAAATGGTAATACAATCTGATTATATATGTTGTTTTTCTCTTCTTTTTGGTCTGTCTATAAAAACAATAAAAATAACTTCTCTAGAACTTCAAATTTTATTGAAACTTGGCATTAGAGGAGATCAACTTTATTAAATTTAAATAATCTGAACATTTTTAAAATTATAAATAAATTTTTAAAAAAACAAAATAAGGTCAAACTTAATATAGAAGCAATTTCAAAAAATGCACTATGGCCTTTATAAAAAAAACAAGATCATGATTATAAATTATAAATATAAAGAATTTTAAATGATTATGATAATAGATTTCTTTTAGATTTTCTTAAAGAAATAGCATATAATCTATTTTTCTAAATTAAAAATTTTATTTTATTTTATTTTATACATATATATATATATTAATATATATATTATTTTGGTTTTTTTGTTATTATAAAATAATGTATACATATAAGCAGATTTGACTCTAATCACAAAATATATGATTATTGCAAAATTAATATTAATTAATTGATTAATTAGTTGATTTATTGAACATAATAGTAAAATATAGAAAATATTTTTTAATATTTATCTTTATATCTATGTTATTTTTTATATATTAGTTTTTTTGATTTTGTTTTTTTTTATAAGAAAATGTTATCAAATTAGTAATGTCCTATTATAAAATAATGATCAGATGCAGCTCTTAGTATACTCAAATTTTTTATAAAGTTATATAGTTAGTGCAACAAATTACTTGTAAAGTTTTTAAAAATATTTGCAGAATACTATGCCAAAATTTATATAAGTTGCATATATATATACAAGAATTATAATAAAGGTAATTAGTAAGACTACTAAAGTAAAAAAGAAAAAGTTAAAGAATTTTAATATTAAAATATTACTTATATTATTAACATAATTAGTAAAATAATAAAATATGATAACTTAATAAAATAGATAGGTTATTAACTCTAAATGACAAATCTAAAGTTTAATTCTTATAAAAAATAAATTTTGAAAATTATATCTGTATTATAGTAACTATTTCTTATTAATTAATTGGGTTTTGAATATCTGTAATATTTAATATAGCAAGTCAGATTCTATCTAACTTTGAACTCAGAGCATCTATGTAAAATATAATGTTATATATACTGTTAAGAGCTAAACAGGTACCAGAGTTGCTCTAATCTAGTGCCGCCCTGACCTATGCCCCTCTTACAGCAAGAACATCTCTGAAATAAGCAAACCATTATGCATCGATTGCATCTCAAGAAACTTGGAAGCCAATTCACCCAATTGAAACAATGCTATAATGATACAGAATCAGGTACTATAGTTATTTGTTAGAGTAGATTTGCCAGATTGGACTAGTTGTTTGTGCTGCATAAAGCCATTCAAGGTACTGATCATAATGACAGATCTAAAACTGTTAAGTTTAGTAGAAAAATGTTTGATCTTAAGCCTCCATGTTGCCTCTTTTTGTGAGATACCATTCTTGTATATAAGCACATCTTTTTTTTAAGAGTTAAGAGAAGGAAGCAAATAGAGTCATTATTAGTAATAACTGTATTAGTAATAAAAACTATCTTAGTAATAAACTGAGATCTTGTACATATGTTTTAGCTTTAACAAATCATTTCATCTTTTTTATGATGTAATGTTTCATGATGTTTGGTATTTTTGAATAACAATCTGTCATATTTTCCTTAATCCTGTATTCTGTAAACCCAAAATCCTTCTAAAAATATATAGAGAAATGTACAAAACTAATATTACATAAGACTTTGATACAAACTTATGATAAAACTACTAGATATAAAAAACTAAAAAACTGAGAAGACAGAAACTTATTTAGAAATCTTGAGTAAAAAGATAATACAAATTTTTGATAATGCAGTTAAATTGATGAAAACTCATGAAACATCTCTAAAAAAATTGTTGAATAAACCAGATGACAGATATATGATAAAAGCATATACACCAATCAGGTTTCTAGAATTATCAAAGAAAAAGAATATATAAGTATATTATACTAAACTATTTGGATTAATAGTCTGAGAAGTCCTATTAGTTCTGAATAATAATTAGTAAAAGATGATGATAAAGATATTAAATAAGATAGATATTAGGATTTGGATGAACTTTACAAGAGTAATAGTAGTTTAATAAATAACTCTGACTGTAAATATTGGTTTTGAACATAATATTAAACCAGATTAGTAATAAAAGAGAATATCACTAACTCTAGTAGATTTATCTTAAGAATAAAAATAGTCTAAGAATTATAATCCTAAGATTAAAAGTGAAAAAATCTGGATTTATAACTTGGTGAAATTAATACTAGAGTCAGATCAAAGGGTTTAAATAAAACATCTAAGCAGGGGTGTTAGGTATAACAACTAGTAGGGACAGATAATATAGAATAATTATATGTATAACTAGTTGTATACTTGTCTAATAGTTCAATATAGATACATCTATATGAACATATACTGATATAAGTATTAATAAAAAGTCTGAACCAAAGAGATCACCTTAAAACCAAAAAAAAAAATAATAATAATTAGTAAATCATTTTAAAAAACCTTAAAGTTGAATATATAAACAGAAAATAATATTTTAGATAATATAAAAACATTTTTAAATACTAATGAAATTCTTTCAAAATTTAATTTTTTTTTTTTTTATTATTTTTGTTAAAGGCCATACTTGTGGTGATACTTTATTGACTTTATATTGGGTTAGCTATTATAACTATTTTTACAGAGATGAGAGTACAGCTAGTCATACATGCAACTTTTGGTTGCTTATTTAAGTAGTCCACTCTAAGGTTTTATACTAGATGCTGTACCTATAACCTACTAGGAGATTATCCATTTAAATCCTCTGATCATTTACTCTGTTATATTGGAATTCTCAACTAACCTCTCATATATATCTAACCAGTATACCATCTAAGCAGTATGGTACCTATCTTTTTTGTACTGGTTCCTAAGCTGTTATATATTTCAGAGTATATTACTTGCCAATAAAGTGCAGAAAACCCCCTGTTGTTAACTATCTACCTACTTTTAAAACACTAACACAGGCTACCCTTACAGAGTTCACCTAGACCCTAGTACTAACTTCATAATATATCCCTAGTATTTTTAGTATACTTCTGTTTTGAATCCAGATTCCCAATTCAGATAGCCCAGAAGAACTGTAACCTGTTCTTGGTATATTGAGACCAGTTTAATATCCTTTTTCTCTGGTCCAAAATCTGGTGGCCTGATTGGTAGTACCCCTCACCCGAGGTTCTTGCCTGACTGAATCCTTCACATTGGTATTCATTTTCTTGGTTTAGCCTTTACAGTAATACTGTCAAAGATCCATATTACCTCTCTGCTCAGAATTTCCAAGTGGGCTCCAGCTTCCCAGTTCTATAGATTTACATGGCTCAAGGACTTATTTTAGGTTTGTACCTCCTGGTACTGGTTTGCATTCCTCTGTATAACAGGTTACACAGATGCCCTAGACCTGCCAGTCATGCTGGTGTGATCATAGTTACAGGTATTCTATTCCAACTGATCGACAGAATGCTATTGCCATAATACTGTCTATATATTACATAGGTAATTATCCAAATTTTGCCATTAGTAGGTTTTGAACTTACTACCTACCACTTGGAAGTATGACAACTTATTCACTTTACTAAGTTACCACACTCTTTTCTTTCAAAATTTAGAAAACTTATTGTTTATATTAGATTTTTTTTACATATCAAACAAAAACTATTGAACTTTAAGATATTAATCTTATCTTAGATGTTAAAATAAAGTAAAACTTTATATATAATATACTTGCATAAGCATTAGAAAAACATAAAACATTAAATACAATTATAAGTTTAAATAAAGAACTTAAAATATTAGGATAAAAAGCAAATCATTAACTCTTTTCAACAATCACTTGTACCAAATTTCTGCTGTAAACATTTGACTCTTACTCAATATTTTATTAAGTAAACTACTTTTGGACATCTAAGTAAAGTTGTTCCTAACACAATTTTACACTTAGGCGGCCAAGTTTTATATCTCTAAGTTCCT